TGATTCTTCCAATTTGGTCCTTGTGAATGCTTTTAACGGTGCAGTTTAGTGAAGGATTCAATAGAATGCAAACACCTCTACTGTGTATTGCTCCATGTGAAAAGAACATGTCACCTCCCCACTCACTTTTCCAAATATTTTCATCGTTCGGTTTGGAGTACGTCTCTTGCGGAAAAAATATATCACAATTTTGATCTTTTAAAAAACAGAAAATGCTTCTCCTTTTTACGCGATTTCTAAAACCTCTGAGATTTAGAGAAATCACGTCACATTTGTCGAGTGCGATCATGGTTTGACATTGCAAAAAACACTATAGCAAGGGGAGTTATAAAGTAAGAAGATATCACTGATTCCATATATGAAAATTTTGGAAAACTTGGAAACAAAAACATAACCTAGCAAACACAAAATAGAATCACGGAACATATTAACATCGATATGAACTGTTCGCATGCAGTCCAGAAGAGTCATTTAGCATTTCCTATCCTCACTGATTTCTGGTTGACTAGCATCGAGTTTGATTGTGAAATTACCGTAGCGACATAGGTGGCTTACGAATAAAATGATAGATTGTTCAGGTCTTCTTCGCAGTAAATTCTTGTCGGAGTACCACTTAGAGATGTTTTAACATAAAGCCTACCGTCTAAAGACCAAGCACTTTGAATCGTCCCCTCTCTGTTCATCTGGTTAGTCCCCTTTTTATGATCTTACTCCTGAATTGAGTTAAATCTTTAGATCTTTACGTTCCTAAGTTCGGTTCGCTTCCTATAAAGCTGAGCCTTCTTTTTATAGTTGATAAATTTAACTATAATGCTCTTCGGATGGTTTTTTTCCGTTGTACAATTTGTGTGAGATATCAATTTCTTCTTTCGCAATAGGAACATCTGGTCGCTCACCGAGCTTAATAACACGTCATCCGTTGATGTATAAAGATAGATTTTCAGAAAAGCCATGTATTTCGGGCGAGTGTTTACGCGCGTACTGTTCAAGATCATCTTGCTGACCGTACAGCTCGTTGATTTCACGCTCCTGGATGTCGACTTTTACTTTCAACAAGTTCAACGACTTTTTTAACTCCTCATTTTCGTTGTGGTCCGTTTTGTAAAGTTGTCTTCAAAGAGCTTATTTCCGTTGAATGCTTCTTGAAGGAAGACTTCAGCTCCGCGAGTTCAGCCGCCATTCATTGGTTCTCGGTGCGTATTTTTAGAAGCGTTTGCTGAACTTCTTCAAGCAAAGCTTTAATCTCATTAAGGCTTGTCTCTTCCTCTTCGCTTGGCTCGAAAACAACCTTAAGTTCGTTATTATCTTGACTCGTCTCGCAAGCCGCCATATTCTGCTTCTTGGCGGTGCTGTTTCCCACTTCGTTTGAACCCCTATAACCTCTTTTATGTTTACCGCGCTGGACGAGTTTGTTTTCCTTGCCTGTCATGAAAACCACTTTTTTTTAGAGGAGTAGTCGCATTTCGGGTTGACTTACTGTCCTGAGTTGGATTTGAAGACGGGAAAAACTGCCGCTCACAGAACACGTCCGACCTCTTCGCTGACGCGCATGCTCTCAATATCTCGTAATATAGGAAAGAAATAATTTTCCACTTTGTAAAAAAGAAAAAGTGTAACCGAGAATAGGTAAAGCATAGAAACTGCATGTAAAAAATTAAGGTCCGCAGGCTTCATAGGTAAGTTCATTCTTATGAATTTTTATTTGGCATTTTGGGATCTTATTTACAGAACAGATCAAGCTAGAATAGTTGGAATCAGTCCAGACTGCCTGACTGTTTAGCGATGTTAAGTCGACCCGAAGCCGTTTCACAGTACTGGATTTTTAACGTTAGCTACATAAATATCCTTCAATCATGAATGAACTATGCATGATGTTGTATCTAGGAAGTTAATGCTTGCCGTTATCTTTGGCTGCTTCTCTGCATGCAACTCATTACAAGGGTAATGCAGCAGGAGGGAACAATATGAATCAAAAAAAGAAAAAATCACACAACATCAACAACAAAACACTTTCAAAAGGAGTAATCCAAGCGAGAGTTAATTAAAAGAGTGAGTGGCATGTGCAAGGGCCTTCGCAGAAGGTTTAAATATAGTCAAATATTAAGGACTGATGTTTTAACACAGGTAAATCAAGATCAATATAGTTTGCAGAGCAGCGGATTAGCGGGGCCGAACTGAAGCGCGATATGCAAGAGCTTGTGTATTACGCTTAGAGGCCCCGCTAATCCACCTATTCTGCAGGCAAGCAAAGTCCGTTGACAAAATATGCCCTACTACAGTAGACCTAACACTCTTGTTATATTTTGATAGACAAAGTAAAGCATCCTCTCCTTGGAAAAGCATTACAGCGCCTTGGACTTTGTTTCGCTTACTGCTGGTTTTTTGCTTGGATTTTCACCTTAATCGAAAGAAAAGACGAGCCAGCCCACCAGAGAAGGGAAAGGATGTTGAAAGACCTGAGAATGGAAATAACTATGAAATATAACATGACGGATAACGACTTCGAGACTTTCGCGCGAAGAGCGGCGACGGCAGTGTTGACAGGTGACCAACTGGACTGGACGGTCCTGAACAGCGGCGAGTTTGTTTTCGCTGCTCTCACCACAATAGGTAAGTACGCGTTATGTAGTGTTCGTTCGGGTGAGGCCTTAAACTACTTTCTATAGTTACACTCTTTCTTATAAGAATATTATTTTTCCGGCCGAGGCTGAATATTCTTATTTTTCTGCCAATTTTAGGCTGACTGTTTTTGTGAATATTCTCATATTATAGCGTATGGCATTTCTGTTTTCGAATGCATTTGGTGTCTGGATGGTGTGAAAATAATTTTGGAGCCCGCCTGCAGACCTTAAAGCCTGAACTCAGGCACATAACTTCTTGCAGAAATGTTATTAGCATCGAACATACGGCTAGTGCTGTTTTTGTTGCTTTTTGGCTGGTTTTGGCATTTAGAGAAAGGAAGAATCTTATAAGGCTTAGATAAAAACATATAATTGTATTGTATTTACAAATTTTCAACAGACGAAATTGTAGTTTGGATTTTCTATTAAAATATTCTTAAAATTTCCCAAATTTCAGCTCTCGATATTCTTATAAAACATACTCTTATAAAAAAGAAAGAGTATTTGTGGTCACATTAGATTTCATAACCCGCGTTGCTCGACTCCCGATAACTTGAACCTTGCGCCAACTCGAACCAAAATCGATTTCCCCCGGATTTCCATCCTACATTTACCATAATTTTCCCCTCGGTAACTCGAACCCTCCGTAACTGGAGCCCCCCGCAAACTCGAACCAATTTTAGTTTTCATTCAGATCATTTTCTCTTCAATTTTAGCCTCGATAACTAAAGCCATGTTTGTCAACTCGTGACAAGACAAAACAAACAGTACTGTCAGCACAAAACATCATTTGAATTTATTTTGGAACAGCTGTACAATATTATATAATGTTTGAGTCTCTTTGTAGTTATTCTCTTCGGAACCAGCAGATTTCGCAGTACCTGGACTTCTTTTGCTGCTTTACTTTGTTTATGGTGTCGGTCCACTAAAGTTACTTTCAGACTTGTACCTGAGTAGTTGAGAAATGTCTTGTCCCGTTTCACTCGACCTCTCTATAACCAGACTTGATTAACATGTACATTGTACGAGTAGAGATGTAGTATATAAACACCATCTTTCTCCTCCTTATTTCCGGTCATTTGTTCCCATCTCCCGATAACTCGAACGCCCGATAACATGAACCTATTTAATCTTCCCAGTGAAGGTTCGAATTATCGGGAGTCGACTGTATATAGCTCATATATAAGGACCCAGCAAGGACGCTCTTCGGACAAATTATCATTTCTTTACCAATTGTGGAGAGGAAATAGCGGCGCAAAATAATATATTACGTGCTCCGAAAGTTTTCCTAACTGCTATTTTTTTCCAGTTTTCTTCATCAAAATGGAAAAATTCACCAATTTGTACATTTCATACACATTCTTGCTTAATTTTCTATTAATTTCCGTTATTTTTCCACTTTTTACCGTTTCAGTATATCCCAAAACTGACCATTTTTCAACTGAAAAATTGTTTTTCGCTTTTTCAGATAGATCTTATTACCATCTTTCATAAAATTCTATGGAAAAAAAACAAATTGGTTCTATGCAAAGTTACGAACGAAAAACGTTTCTTTGCATTAATTATGTCTAATTGATAACTGTCAACGGGTTGTCACTAGAAGTAAACTTGCATTAAAAGTTGCGTGACAGATTGCCGCGTATCCAAACGTTTTTGTCTGGTATAGTCGACAAGCTAGTCTGGGTGTTGTCTGTTTGCTGATTGTTGATTTAAGCTTAAATATGTCGTCGAAGAAGACGGGTGATAGCTTCGACGCGATATCTTGGAAAGTGCTGTTTTCGGTCGGAACCACTAATCTAATGGAATTGCTTGAGCGCAGCTGCTTGCGACATTCCTGTTTTATTATTTTTAGATTATTTTTAGTAGTAAGGGTGGCGTAGTGAAGAGTGAACCAGCCTGCCAACAATATAGCCCGATTCGCTTCGATCGACCTGGTGTCATAACGATGTTGATTTTCTTATTATTAGTTCTCGCCTTGTTTTTGAGGATTTTTCCCCTTCCAATTTGGCGTAGATAGGAGCCATTTAAGAAAAAAAAAACTTCCCATAGCTTTTTTGGCTTCCTCTTAGAATATTCGAATTAATCAAAGGCTTAAGATTGGGTATTGTAAGATTTATCTTAAATAACTTAGGAAAAAAGCGCCAAATTTTAGCGCTTTTGGATTTCATAGCGATCTCGTATCCACCATCTGCGTCACAAATTCATTCAGCAGGTGATTTCATATTTTGACTTTAATTCTCGACGTTTTGAAAGACGGTTGCCTGGCAACTGTCTTATTCTTGAGCAGGTGAAGGCATTTAAATGCAAATGCGAAAAATGTCCATCTATGAAAATTAAAAACCATACAGGTAGTTTGTCTATCGATCAGTTAAGCGAGTCACACAGTAGCCATCTGTAACCTTTCTCTCATAGCTTGCTGCCTAAAGGTGTTTTCTCGACATTAGGAAGGTACGTCTTTGCTAAGCTGAATTGAAGATGTAGTCATCTGTTTAACTGGTTTGATTTGTATATTCATCTTTCCACTTTGAAAAGGTGACAACGAACGACTGGCGTACTCAGAGCCATGCACCGATGCATGGTCAATCCAAATAATCACAAACCAAACGGACGCTTTGAATTAATGTAATTACGTTACATCCTGTAAAAATAGCGAAAAGTTAAGCGGCTATCACGAAAACATCGTACACGTATGGGAAAAAGAGTTCAGGATGTTGTGATCAGGCCGTTTGGCTGGCCTATCAAAAATGTTTCTATTAACATATTAAGTACACGCTTTTTTCGTTATATGGCCATATATTTCATACGGCCCATGCAGTGCAAACAGAGGAGTATACAATGAAACCTCGAAAACTTTTTATGCCTTTTTTGAAATATATTTTGTCTTACGAAAACACAGTGGCTTAGTATTAATCTGACTGTTTTTTTCTTTAGTTCGACTTTTCAGGTGTCTCGACTCACCAAATAAGAGAAAATTATGACTGCCAAAATACATAAGGCTTGCTTCACGCACATTATTAATTATGAGAAGAAATCTGCAAGTGAAAATTAAAATGCGTCATGATGGACAAGGCAGCCCAAAATGTTGTCTGAACAGAGTAAGAAGGTTTGGGCGTTCTAGAGGGTTATATACTTTTGTGCGCGTAATATACATATATTTGTAAGAAGATCTCTATGCATGTGCATGCTGTAGTTCTCGCCACAATTTATCATGATATCACACCGTAATTAGAAGGCAGCGTGTGCTTTGTCCTTATGAGAGATTGTATGGGAAATATTACTTTAAATACCGTATACTAGGGAAAAAGCAAACCTTTCCTTTTACAAAGTCAAGGGAAATAAATGATGATATTAATTCTGGAAGTGTGAAAGTGCTAAACAACAAGGATACCTACAAGCTCACTCTCTAATTCGTATGAAATGTATTTTATTTATATTGAATTCTGTTTTATTTTTCAAAGAAATGAATCCTCTCCTTGGAAAAGCATTCCTGCGTCTTGGAGTTTTTTGCGCCTACTTCTTGTTTGTTGCGTGGATTTTCACCATAATCGAAGGAAAAGATGAATCAGCTCACGAAAGAATGGCAAGGATGTTAAAGGACCTGAGAACGGAGATAACGTTTAAATATAACATGACAGATAATGATTTCGAAAGTTTCATAGTGAGAGCAGGAGCGGCATTGTCGGAAGGTGACAAACTGGATTGGACGCTTTCAAACAGTGGCTCATTTGTTTTCGCTGCGCTCACCACAGTAGGTAAGACACCATGTGATGTTACATGATGTCACTGAGTCCCACGTCTTGGATTTCACTTTTTTTCTCAGAAAATCAGAACATAGTTAGTAGAAGGGAATGGTTTTGAAACTCGACAAACTTCTTTGTTGTATGTTTTTGTTCTCTTTTTTGGCCTTGACCGTGCACAAAACACAATAGTTGCTTACTTCTGACCGAGGAACCAACCAATAGAAATGTTTTGATTACGTAACTCATACATAGTGTATGAACGCAGAACAAAAGATTGTGCACGGTCGTGGACCTCTCAATCTTTGCTTTCTCCTTTGGTGTTTGCCGGGCTTCACAGCCATCACCATCTATTAACTATGGCCAGAAATAACGAATTTTAATGGGAAAGTAACCAATGTTCTGCCATTTGTGAAAAAAGAAGGGTTTTGTTTGACATCAGGGGCGCTTTCCTTTCAACCAAAATTCCGAAATTTTAGAATTGGGGGCAATTGGTATGGAAATTTCCCGGGAAAGGTTCCAGAAAATCCGGAAATTGTTCAATGAAAAGCAAACCATTCAACCGAAGATTCCGGAATTCCAGGATGAAAATCAAATTGAACGGAAATTTGGTTATACCTCATGAGTTTGTTCTCTTTTACGGAAGTTGTGTAAATCTGCAATTTTCTATTCAGCCCTAGTTCTTTTGGCCGGAATCGCAGCGGGCTGGAAATCCCAGGCAAAGATAATGGCGACGCGTATTCGAAATTGGAACTTGTCTTTCGATAAATAATAGCCACAGCTTAATTCGTCAAACAAGCCTTTAATTCCAGTGAAAACAATGTCTCCGTGGCGTACTTGTTTGTTTTGCATAGGTTGGCTAAGAAATGGACGAAGCCGAGTTATAACGCGTACAGAGCCATTGTACCACTCATTAACCCTTTGTCTGCCGTTGTGGTTTGCATAAGGTCCCAGCTGTTGTGGTCTATAAGGTCACCGTGTCAACGTATCAGTGTTCTGTTTGCTTCTATATTTGGAATTTAAACCTCGAAGTCATAGAAAAATTCCAATCAATAAAATGTGCGGCTTATCACGTTTTCCACTTTGCTGCAGTCAACTAGAAAATTGTTTCATTCGTCTCAAGAAATTTCTGGAAATTTACACCGGAACTTTTGGTTGAATGGAAAGCACCCCTGTATTCTCTAGAGAAAAAAAAAGACAATTGAAATGTTACATCATTATAAGTGCACTTCCTTTAACACACAAAAAAAAAAGAAAAAAAAAGAGAGAGAGAGAGAGAGAGAAAGTTCACCGAAAAAACATTTTCATGCCTGTTTATACTCTGTAATAACGGACAGGCGGGGTGAGTTGCTTATTTATTTATTTATTTATTTATTTATTTATTTTTTTGTTAATGTGTTTGTTCTCTTCTTTTTATTTAGGATATGGACATATCACACCCCAAACGCCTCTTGGCCAAGGCATCACCATCATCTTCTGTTTGTTCGGTATTCCTATAACAATGCTGGCCTTGAAGACAACGGGGGAGCTCTTGGCCACTTCTATCGAGTATCTTGTTCTCAAAACAGAAACTGTTATCCTTAAAAGAACTGAGCCGAAGCACGTAAAAAAGAAAACGTTTTTCGTGGCGTCTACGTTAATGCTTGTCCTACTCATCTCGACAGGCACCTCGGCTGTTTACCTTGAAAACTGGACCTTCATTGAAGGCCTGTACACGTGGTTCACTGGTTTTACAACGATCGGTTTTGGTGACTTTGTACCATTTCTTTCTTTTGTAAGAGACGCTGAGCAAGGGAAAGCATCTAAAGGTGAATTGTTAATCCACATCCTTCTCTTCTTTGTTCCTTACATGGCTGGCTTGAGTCTGACCTCGTGCCTTTTGAGCTGCGCTGTCGAATCCATAGACGAAATACGTGATTTTCGTGATCGCTACATGAGCTGTTGGCCACGTTTGATTTCGCTCAAAACAAAATTGTTCGCTCACAGATGCAGAAGTTTTAATGTTACAGAAGAGCAAAATAATGAAATAACCTGAACAATGAGCTGCCTGTCATATTTGTTAGCAAGCCTGTTAGACATCTTTAACAGGAAAGTAGAAGTCTAACAGTTATCCGTAAGAGTTGCATGAAAAAAAAAAAAAACTCAGAACTGCAGTCTTAAAACACTTACGCAGTGAAATAGCCATTCTCTCGTATCAAGGACACATTAAATCTACAGTTAAATGAGTGAAAGTATTATTTGGTGTGTATATCACGAAAGTGGTTGGGGACAGAATATATTGAACTACACCTGATTGAAAAAACGTTATCGGATGAAAAGTATAAACAATAAATGATACGACTTCATGGAATAATGGGAAGACTGAAGAATCTCGCGCATAATCGTGAATATTCAAAATTGTTTCCTCTGGACATTAAAATGATCACAGTGATTTAGAAAAACATGGAAACTGCCCACGCTTTGCTAAAGGTAGCTAAGTTAGAAAGCAAAGGAAAATTCACATTTACAGAAAATGCGAGCAATCCTGCTGTTTCTTCAAAATCATAACCAAGGTAGCAATAATGACATACAGCCCGCGGCAGGCTAATCTCGCAAACCGCCTTAAGGCTTGTACACGGCCCGTAAGAATGCAAATTAGTATTAGTTTGCAAGTTTCCCAGGAAACTATGGTTTATAATTTTTTCTCGACACGGTTTTTTCAACTAGGTGTATATAATCAGTCATTTCGTCTAATTCCGTGGACGAATTAGAAGTGAGATAAAGGCAAAAACAAAAACTACTGAGAAAACTGGTGTATTTATTAATAATGTATTTATCAGGAATTCAAAAGAAATATATTTGAGCTGAATCTCGCAAGACCTGTCCTTCTCTGCTTTTAAGTTCCAATTTATGTAAATAATGAGACGATCAATAAGAAGACGGGAACTGTAGCTATAGTGATAAAAAATAGAAATAAGAAATAACAGAAGAAAGAAATAGAAATAACAGTGGCACCAACGAAACCTGTAAAACATGAATGAAGATCAGGGTTCCTTTTTATAAGGGTTTAGTGTATCTTTTTTTAAAAGAAGCTTATAGGAAATTATTTTAAATAGGATGAACATGGACAAGGAGTTTATAGTAATTCTGTTTAATTGGGTTTTTTTTGTTGTTTTTTCTGTCGCCATATATTAGCAAGAGGCAGGTTACTAACTCCAGAATGTCGCTTTTACATTAGAACTAGAATCGAGCTTCCTAAGGTCATTGTAATAAGTCCTTGGCAGGAAACCAAAAGTAATAAAAGGTTTTGCAACAGGCTCTTTGTTAACCTGTAATGGAGTACAGTAGCATCTAATCCCTTTTAGTAGAATTCCATTAGTACACTAATACAAATGCTGCAATCTGATTGGCTAAGCCATTACACACTATCACCATTATAGTTCACCACTAAATTTTCTCCGATCCTAATGGGTTAAAACTGATCACATGACGCGATATTGTTCGTCCGCGGAGAGACACTTTCAGCCCATAGTGCCCGTCCGAGGAAAATACCCGGATGGATAGTACCCGTCCGCTAAAATTTTTCTGTAAACAAGCGGGCTTATAGAAAATAAATAATTGTTTTCTTTTTCAAATTTTACATTTGGCTTTCACGGCTTTCATTTAAAAAAGTTGAAAATAATTCAATATGATATTTGAACTGGCGCGCGGAAGAAAATTTAGTGGTGGACAATAAAGACAATAGAGTGTTTATATCACAGAACTATCGGTCTGATAGTTGCCCCTTGGAAATTGATGTTCTTAAAACTAGCATATTTTCCTTCGAAGCTTCGCTTCTCGGGCAAATATTTGTTTTAAGAACATCAAATTTCCGCGGGGGCAGCTATCAGCCGATAGTTCCTCGACAGAAACACTCTATTGTTTAATTAGTGCGCAGTGGCTTGGTTTTGAAAGAACATTTAGAAACAAATGGATAACTAAATTCCAGAGAAGGCTAAAAGGAGGGCATTTACGGTTTCTTGAATTAATAAAGCTCGAAATTTTTCAAGGAAACTTTAGACGTGCGTATACAACTGCAAATGTCAAATTGACAATTCAGTCCGCGCGAATTCTCTGAAGTTTAATACTAAGACCAGAAATAATTGAAATCGTTATTTGAAGGAAATTGCAGTTAGAATTCTACTAAAACAATTAGACTATTCGCTCTCGATTTCGATGAGGTGATAGTTGATTCGGCCTTCGGCGTTATTTTGAGGTCTCTTGGTTCCTATAGGTGGTTTAGAGCCATTTAGGCTAGTTTTAATGGTTTTACTTTCTGGCGGTTTGCTTCCCCTAAAGAGAAACGAAGGCGGTAAACCCACTAGCCCGACGGCTCGCACTCAAAGCTCCGTAAATTCCACAAAAAAGGTCTAATCTCGCCAAAATTACCTCATGGTAGCAGACGATAACTCTTCCTCCCATTCGCTTTCTCCCAAGGTTCCAAAGTTTATCTTAACCACCCGAGAATCGCTGGTTTCCAGGTCTTTCTTTCCATTTGTGCTCCGTCTCGATCCGTAACCGATTATCTTGGCCACTGGATTTTGTCACGATGGCGCGGTCGCTAACCTAGAATGCAAAATCCTGTTGCCAAGATAATCGGTTACGGATCGAAACAGAGCACAAATGGAAAGAAAGAGCTGGAAAACCAGCGATTCTCGGGTGGTTAAGATAAAATTTGGAACCTTGGGAGAAAGCGAATGGAAAGAAGAGTTATCGACGGCTGCCATGAGGCAATTTTGGCGAGACTAAATCATTTTTTGTGGAATTTACGGAACTTTGAGTACGAGCCGTCGGGCCAGTGGGTCGCCCGCCTTTCATTTCTCTTTAGTGGAAGCAACAGCTCAAGCAAACCGCCAGAAYGTAAAACTCGCCTAAATGGCTCTAAACCACCTCCAGGAACCCAGAGACATCAAAATAACGCAATGCAAACGTAAGGTAAGCCATTTTATTCAAATTATTTCATACATGTAGCATTTAGAGCAGTTTTTGCGAAGCATTCTTTAATCTTTAATCTTTGATCTTTAATAAAAATTCCAAATTACATTACATTGAACAAATCAATCCAATGGATTTGAGGACATCATAAAACAGAATACAAGATTCCTTAATATAAGCCGCCTTACTGTATCATTGTATGATTGTATACCTAGTTAAAAATTACCCTAAACTCATATTAAAAAATAAGATAATCACGATAAAAAATTAGCATTGAACTTATCGTAAAAATAAGCAAACAATTTTTTGCGGAAGACTGACAAGGTGTTAGACTCCCTGATGTTAAGAGGTAGTTCATTCCATGAGCGACAAACCCGTTTAAAATATGAGTTCTTAAAAGATTCTGTGCGACTAAACGGGACATTGAGTTTTAAATAATCAATCTTTCTCAAAGGCCTGTTGCAAGTTCGAAACGATACATAGTCCAAAATATCTAAATTATACATATTCTTAAAACATTTAAAAAAGAATACGAGATCATGAATTTCCCAACGATATCGTAAAGGTAATAAATTTAATTTACTCAGGCGTTAGTGCTCAGAATACTCCTTGCCGAGAATGAATCTCGTGGCTCTGCGCTGAATTTGTTCTAAGCTGGTAATATTTCTTTTGGTATAAGTCCACCATACCACACTGGCATATCCTAGACGTAACTGCACCCAAGTAATATAAAATAACTTTTTAGTTCTAATATCAGTCATATCCTTACATGTCCTATGAAGCAAATTAAGCATCTTTTGAGCTCTGGACGTAATAATTTCAACGTGATAATTCCGGCTTAAATCGTGGCTGATCCAAATACCCAGACCTTTTTCAACAGCAACACGTTCCAACTTGGTTCCTCCAAGAAAATAATCCCTCTCATAAGTACACTTAGTTCGTGCTACTCTTAAAACCTTACACTTTTTGACATTGAACTCCATTCTCGAAATGCGTGACCACTCCAATAACTTATTCAGGTCTTCCTCTAAATTTATCGCCATCATCTTGCAGGAGAATTAGGCGAAAACACTTCGAATCATCGGCAAAAAGGGGCAATGATGTACCCCCTGAAATTACATCAGGCATTTATGTAAACCACGAAGAACAGGGGTCCCAAAATTGATCCCTGGGGGACTCCAGGTGTGACCGGGAGAAAATCAGATGCCTCATTATCAATTACAACCCTGTGTACATTCTCATTGATTGTCTTATAAACGGCTAAAATTGTAACGCAATCGCCAACAGCATAATGCCACGTATTAATCGTTTTCAACGTCTTGGTCGCCTGTGGTCTGTGAAGAGGGTTTAGATAACGTTTTAAACGACTAATAGATTTATAAGAACACAAGTAGATTATAGATTATTTCTATGCGTGATAGCTGACGAGAACGCAGCCCCCTCGGGTCATAAATAGAGGATATTACACGGTGGCGAGAAGATATGAATTTTATTTTCGAGTGGTAAGAACAAGATATTGTTCTTGCCACGAGAACATAAAATTCATATCTTCGAGCTAACGTGTAATGTTCTTTCTATTATATAGACCTACCGATGAGGGTTTTTTTGACGATTTTCCGAAAATTTCCGACCATTTCCGAAGATGTCCGAAACTTCTCCAAAACTTGTCCGAAGGTTACACGAAGGTTGCCGAACATTTTTTCGAAATTTTCCGAAGATTACTGAAGATTTCCGAAGATTTACCGAATATTTCCGAAGACTTTCGAGGAAGACTCGAAGATGTTTCGATCATACACCAACGAATTTAAGTACAATTTAAGAAACAAATTTAATATCAGTGAAATCATCAATATCTTCACTTGTGAGGATATGGAAATACGCCACCCGAGTCCCGGATGTGGTTTCGTATGAATTTTACGAGTGGTGGATTTTCCAGTAAAACACTCGTGTCTATATAATAATCTACTTGTTAAATAGAAGAGGCTCGGTGGTGTGGCTCACTTTGTCCGAGGTAGACCTTTTTCATTCTTAGACCTTGAATAATGATGAAATCCTTTGTGACATGGCTAAGCTAGCGGCTTTTTTAGGCACATGTTTCCGTGACAGTTTTATAAAAACATAGCTTGGTGGCTGAATATTCTAATGAGGCTTAGGCAGAAAACCGCATTTCTAATAAACGTGCCTTCAATTTAGTCGTAGTTCTGTATACAGAAATAGTATGTTGTGGGCGTAAACTGCTAGTAACAAGACAAGCACAAAGTAAACGCCTGTTTTGATATGGAAGGACATTGGGCTATTGCAATTATGTAAATAGCAGTAGTCTCGAGCTATTGATTATTTGACTTGCAGTCTTTATGATCAGCGTTCCGAAGTTTCTTTGTTATTATAACAAGCCTATTCAGCAGGTGGACAAAACCTATTTACTGAATATACAGTAACTTGTCAAAAAAACATCCATCCGTTTACATTGAAACCAAGTTCTTATAGACTATATTTAAATGTAAATTGCTAATATTTTCGTCAATAATTTACCGTGAAGCTGTTGTTGAAACTGAGTTTTGGTCCGTATAAATGTACCCAATACGCGGTTCTTGAAGTAAAACCTTCATCCAACCGACTCACTAAGGTAAAAACGTTTGAAAGGACAACTCAGGTGAGGTTTCAGCAGCGGAAATTTGTTATTTAATCATTTACTTAAGGTAGAATAACTAATTCTGTTTAAAATTTTCACGAAACTGAAATTGACAGACAACTTAATTATTCTTTCCCTTTTCTAGGAGTGATGGGTATTTTTGGAAAAAAAAAGCCTTAGAAAGTGACTCAAAATTAAAAAAAAAATTAAAATCTTGCAAATGAACCGAAATATTAAATGAAAAGAAAAGAAAAACCGCGTTGGCCGAGAAACATTAAAACGGTGTGCGGAACTTGAGTTTATTTTAATTTGTAGTAACTGTTTTTTTCAATGACTGACGTACCTGACTAGAACTACAGGATATTACTTCAGATTAATAAATACGACGACTTTCAGAAAAAAGACTTGTTTGACTCAATCTATTGCGACTTCAGATCGGCAGGTGGGCCTCATCCTGTATCTCAGTCACCATGGAGAAACACAGCAAATAGAAACTTGAAAAGACATGCAGCCAAAGTTTTGCATATTCTACACATGGTCACCTTTATTCAATAGGTGGTCGCCTTGGGACTTTCAGGCAAATTTTAAGAATGCAAACAGTGCAAACAAAGATGTCTTTTATATCAGGCAAAATTATCTAAACATAGTACATTGATTAATGCTGCGGAATTTTTCTTTGTCAGGTGTTTTTACAAAAACAATTAAGTTGACTCTGCACATTATAGTGTAGTCTCAAAAAGATAATACTCCAATAAAAATGAGTTTTTTTCTCCTAATTTATTCCCGATGGTAATCTCCATTGATTTACTTGGAATTTATTTCTGACATTTTTGTGTAAT